GGCGCGGACGCCCCGTGGTGCCGCAGGGGCGCCGGCGGGCAGCGGCGGGCTCGGGCTCGCTGAACGGCGTGGCGTATTCGGGCTCGGGCGGCAGCGGTTCCGCGTACTCGTGGTATTTTCCCGGCACGTCGTAGTGGCTCACCACCAGCGGCAGCGTGTAGCCCTCGTCCAGGAGAGGCTTGAAGGTGGAGGGGCCCATCTGGCTGCTGGGGCTCACCTGCACCAGGTCTGGCTCGGCATAGTCTGCAACGGGGACGGCGGGCTCTGAGCTGGGGACAGCAGGGGACTGTCCCCGCAGCGGTGAAGGGGTCAGGGTGCTGTTCCAGATGTGGGTGGGAAAACCAGGCACATCTGGACCTTCAGGGCCAGGAGAAGCAGGGCAGATGCGTGCTAAAACCCAGCTGGGGCAGGACACCCACCCCACGGGGATGGGCACGTCCCTCTGCCCCAGCACCAAGCAGGGCTCCTGGTGCCCTCCAGCCACCTTCTGATGGCCACGCCTGTGTCTGAGGTGGAATAATAACAATAATGATAAATAATAAGCCCTGCTAGGGTCTCCCTTTTGCTCAGGGCCATGATCCAGGACAGGGGTCAGACCAGAGTGGTGCTGGAGGGGGGGAATGGGCACCCCAGGGTGCAGTGGGGGAGACACAGCTCTGGCTCTGGGTGGAGGGACCCGTTCGAGCCCCAATGTTCCCGTTACCTGATGAATGGGTCCGGCTGAGGTCCCCCGGCACAGCCACTGTGGGGAAGGAGGCCAGCGTGGAGCCAGGGGGCGGCAGGCTCTGCAGGGAGCACACCTGGCTCGACTCCAGTTTGGGGTACCCTGAGCAGAGAGCAGAAAACCCGCCCCCCCCCGGTTGTCACATGCTGTCCCTTGGGGACAGGCAGCGCCGTGCCTGGGGGCAGACGGGTGCCCCTGGGGCTGGGGCGGCTCAGGGCTAGGCAGCAGCACTGGTTAAACCAGCTGCACCCCTCCTGAATTCGGCCCCAGGCACGGCAGGACCCCCAGGGAGGGGCTGGAGGCCCTTTACCTTTCGTGATTGCACAGTTCAGCTCCGCTGCTGGCTTCCTGCCGAGGGGAGAGCGAGACGGGGGTGAGGGGTCCCAGCTACCCTCTGCCCACCACTGCCTGCCTCCTTGTGCCGGCTGCAGGGGGGCTGCGCCCCTCGGGACTTGGCCACCCAGAGCCACCCCGCTTTGGGGGGGCGATGCTGGGTCCCCCGGGGCGAAGCAGGGGACAGGATGGGACCCACCTCTTCTTGCGGCAGAGGAAAGCCAGCAGCAGGAGGCTGGAGCAGAGGAGCAAGAAGCCACCGATGAGCAGCATCACCAGCAGCGTGGAGCCTGGGGAGGGAGGGCAGCGTCAGCCCACAGGTGCCCCATCCCACCCCTCTGCACCCATGGGTGCCAGGAGCCCACCTGGGGCCACCAGAGAAGGAAAATCTCTGTGTGTGTTGTCACAGGGGGGTCTTAAAGCCCAAGTGGGTCCATCGGTGCCTGGAGCACCCACCAGATGATGCTGCGCCCCAGGAACAGCACCCACCTGCCTTCTCTGGGTCCAGGGCGACACCGGGGATGGGCGTGCGGCTGGTTGGGCGGCTGGTGGGGACGGGGACCTCCTTGGGGACGCTGGGCACTGCGGAGCAGAGCGGAGAATGTGAGCGTGGGACCACCACCGGTGCATGGGGAGGCAGAGGTCCCCCCAGGGGACATCTGGGATGTAGGGGGAGAGCTCCGGCAGAGGGGCTCACCATAGGGCCGGGGCGCGCGGACCCGTGCCAGCTGGCAGCCCACCAGGGCCACCTTCAAGGCCACACGCTGGTGCCAGCTCTGGGGCACGACGCGGACGTAGCGGGCGACGATGGGGGGGATGAAGGCGTTGGAGACCTCCCCGTGGCTGTCGGTGTTTCCTTCAAAGACCTGCCGGAGAGGGTGAAGAGGGTGCCACTGGCCGAATGTCCGCGGGCAGGGGGTCTGCAGCCCCCCCGTTGTCCCCCCATGCCCACCTTGTCCTCCTGGCCACCACTGCCTCGGTAGGGTCTCCAGTTTTTCCCGTCGCGGCTGGAGGAGACCCGGTAGGACGTCACATAGCAGTCGTGCTGCTGCTCGGAGGAGCCCTTGGTGACGATGCCTGTTGGTGCAGGAGCGAGCCCGGGGAGGGCCCTGCTGTCGGTCGGGGGGTGCGGGGCCGGGGAAGGGCTTGGGGGGCTGCCCTGTGTCCCATCTGCACCGGGATGTGCCCTGTTGCATGGAGCAGAGCTTTCCCAGCCGGAATAACTCCCATCTCTGGGATACCTGAGTCCCTGCTGGGAGGGGACCAGGCGGGCAGCACGTGTCACCCCCCCGGGGTTCCCTCCGGCCCTGGGAGGGAGTTTGGGTGGCAGATTTGAGTGCCAGACCCCCTGCTCTGCCCCCAGGAGCCGATAACCTCCGGCCCCGGCTGCCAGCCCCGCATTCCTCCCTCCTCCAGCCTCCGGCTGGGCAATGACAAAAGGCGCTGTCTGGCACCAGATGCAAGAGCATAATATTAACTTGTTCATCCCAGAAATGGCTGCGGATGGGGGGGGCAGGGACAGTGGGGACAAAAGGGGGACAGGGGACAGCCAGGGGGGCGTTGGTGCTGTCTGCGTCCCAGTTTGCACCAGTATAACCATGGCACAAGGAGCTCCAGTCCCTCCTGGGTGTTATGGCAGGGGTTGCAACGGCTCTGGGCAGTTTTTGGGGGGTCAGCGAGGCTGGCACCCACATCACCATGGGGAGGACAGTGGTCAGGGTGGCCTGGGGACGGGGGCCGCTGGCCGGCACTCACCAGTGACGTTCCTGCGGGTGCCGAGGTCCAGCTCCAGCCAGGCAGCCTCGGAGCCGGGTTCGGCTGCCCAGGAGTGGCCGGTGGTGCTGAGCGCTGCCCGTTCAGCCGCCCAGGCTCGGTCCTGCCCCAGCGCGTCCACCTCGTGCCACCAGGACGAGGCGTTGAAGGCGGCCACCTCCAGCGCATCGCCGCAGGCTGGCAATGAGAGACAGCAGGCTGGGAGCCCAGGACCCCTGGCTGGGCACGGGGTGGGGGGTGCCACCAGGTTTGGCAGCCAAAATCGTGACTTACTTTCAGGGGAAATGGGGAAAAAATACCTTTGTGGAATACGAGCCGCTTCTCGGAGAGGGATCCCCTGTGGGGAGGAAAGTGGGGCGAGCATCAGACAGGGCGTCCCCAGGTGAACGAACCCTGGGGGTCTTCGAAATCGAGGGGTGGCAGGTCCCTGGTGTCAGCGCAGATGGGTCCCACGGCCGGGTGTGGGGTGCAGCCGGGGTCCCCAGCCCCCCCTCACCCACCTTTTGGAGTGGAGCCCATTGGCGAAGGCTGACTCGTAGAGCGTGATCCCCTTCTCCCGGGACAGGGTGACCTGCCCGCCCAGCTCGTCCGCAATCACCCCGGCGTGCACGGCCGCCTTGCACAGCACCGAGGTCTGCAGGGAGCAGGGGAGGGGTGAGAGCAGCCCCCCCGGGGCGGGGGGCTGGGCACCCCATGGTGCCCCTCAGGGCAAGCCGGGCTCTGCACTTACGTCCCGGTAGCCCTGGCTCGGGTTGCCCCAGATGTCCCCATCGATGTCCTTGCAGCCCGCGGGGCAGTACACGCTGAAACACACGGCGAGGGGGGGTCAGGGCTCGCTCCCGTCCAAATCCCCTCTGTGCACCCGCTTTGCTCCCCCCCTGCTGTGGTTGCACCCCGAGAGCCCCAGGGCGAGCGCAGCCCCAGCACCTGGGAGAGGGATGGGGACCGGCAGTGGTGCCAGGGTGGGGGATGCCAAAGCGGGGACCGCTCACCCCCCCGGCCACTCACCTGACGTGATCCTGGGTGTAGTGGGTGCCTCGAACCAGGCAGGAGACCAGGTCTGCAAGGCAGGGACACCCCAGGGTGAGGGACCCCCACCCGCCCCACAGCACCCACCTCTGCCCCAGGGCACCCCGTCCCAGCGGGGCAGGGAGGGATGGCCCCTCGGTCCCTGCAGCCATCGGCCCCATGCCTGTGCCTCTGCCTGGTGTTGGGGTCCCAGCTGACCTGGGGAGTCTAGGGTGCTGGGGGGGGGTCCCAGCTGGCTGGGTGGCCTGAGGGTCTCCCATGTTGTGCCCCCAGCCAGGGAGAAGATGGGTCTTCAGGGAGCTCGGGGCGATGGGAGCCCACCCTGGGGTCAGCAAGGAGCTCCCTCCACCCCCAGCCGTGCCCCTCGTCATGGGCCAAGACACAGGGGGGTCTCGGCATCCCTGGGGGAGGCTCCCCCCTACCTGGGTGCTGCGAGGTGGCGTAGGACAGGAGGAGGCCTCGTCCCGAGCGGTGGCTGGTGCTGTTGAACAGGACGGTCACGGCACTGGAGTTTGTCACCAGGAGCGGGGTGGCGGGGACGGCATTTCTGCAGTAGGGCCCTGCCGGCAGGGACGGGGCCGTGGAGAGGACTGGGGCTCCCCGGGGACAAGCACGGGCACCCGGACCCCAGGGCGTCACCTCCCCCTGCTCAGCCCTCCCCAGGGCCGGGGGGGCTCAGGCATTTGGGCTGGCTTAGGGTGGTCCCAGCCCCAGGGTGGCCCTACCCCAAGGGTGGCCCCGTGCCGGGGTGGTCCCAACCCCAGGGTGGTCCCAGCCCCAGAGCGGGGGCAGATGGGCTCCTGGCCAGGCAGGGACTCCCCCACCGCTTCCCAGAAACACTTCCCACCAGGGCCTCTTCATTCCATCACGACTGGGACAGCGCGAGTGGCCACCAGCCTTTGTCGGGTTCCTGCCACCATGTCCCCCACTGCCAGGGCTGGCACGCACAGCGCGGCCCTGCAGGACCCCGGAATGGGGGCCGTGTCCCCGTCCCCTCCCCGTCTCCCCTTTCACGCACGCTGCTGAAGCTGCTTTCTAAATCCTCCCCGTTTAATCCAAATTAATTTGCAGTCTCCATCTCCCTGATTAAAGCTTCGGCTTAGCAGGCAGGCGGGTTCCTTGGGGACATCTCTGGTCCTAACCAGGGACAAGAGGTGGCCCCAATCTGCAGACTGCCATCACCTCCCACCTGCGTCTCTCTGCTCTGTGTCATGTCCATCACTGGGGCCTCGGGGCACCCAGAGATGCTTTGAGCAAATGCCACCGTTGCCCTGGGGACAGGGAGCTGTGTCCCTGTGTCCTTGTGGTGCTGGTGGTGAAAGCCCCCCGCCATGGGGTCGTGCCGTGCCTCAGTTTCCCCACCCTGACCCGCACCCTCGCCCTGCCTGGTCATATTTAACCAAGAGGTCAAGCCCAGGAGACATGGGACACGCGTGTGTGCAGGGATGTCACAGGGTCACAGACGTGATGGAATGGGGGCTCTGCATGATATGCAAATGACATGCATATGAGACGCAGATGACGCACATGCACAGATTTCCCACCCGCTGCCAGATGCCAGCGCTGCCCTGGGCTGGTGCTGCCATGTCTGGAACGGTGCCCACCCGTCCGGCGGCTCTGGAGGCCCCCTGGGTGCTGGGGACCCCTTGGCCGAGCCATGGGCTGGAGGCTGCCACCCCCGCGGGGACCCCAGCACATCCCCAGGCAGGATCAGGCCGGGCGCCAGACCCCGGGTCTGAGTCAGCGGGACGGAGCCCACAACCTCCGCCTGCTCTGGTCGCTTCCCGAAAAACATCTGGGACTCCTCAAGGACCGGCATCAGCTGCAGGCGAGGGAGTGGGACCCCAGTGGCCACGTCACCCCCCACCCGCCAGCACGCATGGCCCCAGAGAAGGCACCCAAAGGGGCTGCGGGTGCCCGGCCGCCTCCTCCAGCCCCCACCGCCTCCGCCAGCCCCCCGGGAGCATCATCTGGGGGGTGTCCCCTTTCCTGTGTTGCTCCGGGACCCCTCAGCCTGGGCCAGGAGGTCTCTGGGCTTTGGGGTCCTGGGAGATGGGGACAAACGTGTCCCCAAGGCCACAGCAGAGGGGACGGGGACTGGGGACCCAAAGTGCTGCCACCCCTCCGGATACCAGCCCGGAAAGGGTGAAAGCCCCGGAAAACGGGGAAAAAATTCTGGTCCCGGAAGCAGTGGTGGATTTAAACTGGCTCCTTTCCACCTCCCATTTCCCAAAGTGTCCCCTGCCCCTCACCGGGCCTCGGGGCTGCTCCTCCTTCCCACCCCATCGACACCCCAGTGGTGACGCTTCCTCCCCCCCTCCCAAGACGTCTCCCCCAGCACCCGCCACGCTCCCGGTGCTGTCAAATCCCTCCGAGACCATTAAATCTCTCCGGGAAAATCCTGGAAGCATTTGGGCAGCGGCTGGGTGGACAGAATTAATTAATCACCAGCTGCATCCGATATCCCCCTCCTCAAATATCCCTCTCCTTGGATGTCCCCCTCCTCGGATACACCCTGTACTTGGGTACCCCCGTCCTCGGCTATTCCCCTCCTTGGATGTCCCCCTCCTCGGGTACCCCCATCCTCAGATACTCCCCCCATGACAAAATCAGCTAAAAAGCCAGATTTTCCTGATACTCTCCTCATCCAGGACTTTACATAATGTGATATCCCCGCCCCGCCCCATCCGCAGCCCCTCGGCCGGGCGCTGCCTCAGTTTCCCCCAGGAACCCCCCCTTACCGTAGGCGGTGCCGGCCTGGGGGTCGGCGAGCAGCAGGGAGCTGCGGGTGCAGTGCTCGGAGGGCTCCAGGTCCACGTCCCCGAAGGCCAGGAGGAGGGAGGTGCCCGGGGGGGCACGCAGCCGCCAGCGGCAGGCGGTGTGGTTGGGGTAGGTGCCAGGGTAGTTCTTGGAGCTGAGGGTGCCGCTGTGCGGTGTCAGCAGCGTGTGGCCGCAGCCGTCCCCTGCGGAGAGACCGGAGCTCAGACCGGAGCTCCCAGGGCTGCTCCCTGCCTCAGTTTCCCCACTTGGCATGGCCCCCCAGACACCTCATGGGCACCAGCGGCCCCTTCAAATGTTTTCCTTGTCTGAAATATTTTTTTGTGGCTTTTCTGGACAGTCCCCAGGGGGATCCGGGGATGAAGCTGCCTCAGTTTCCCCCCCAGCCACCCAGCACAGACCTGCGCCTCCAGCCCCTCTCCATCCCCCAGGCCAGCAGGACCCCAATTTTGGGGGGCTACAAAAGGATGCAAGGAGGAAACACCCCCCGCTCCGCGGGGCTGTACAGCACCGAGCAGCGCCCTGGGAACCCTCGGCTGCAGCCTTGACCTTGAGGATGACCTTGGGCAGCTGCATCCCCATCGCCTCCTCCCCGGGGCGATGCCAGCGCCCGCCACAAAAGGGGCTTTTCTCCGGGCTCGCTGCCCCCCGGGCATGAGGGAATATCCTGGAAACTTGAGTTGAAAGTGCCTGGAGTCGGAAGCAGCCGGGATTTCTGGTGGCATTGGGGCGCAGGGAAGGGGAGGGAAGCACTGCTCAGCCCCTCTGCGCAGGCTGGGGGGCCGTGGGGGTCCATCGTGCACCCCCCCTCCCTGCAGCCCCAAAAAGCTGCTGCTCCTGCCAAGCATCATCCTGGCACAGCCAGAAAGAAGGCTCTGCCTTGGCCGCCCTCGCTGTCGCCGGGAGACGGCACAAAGCGCCGGCGGGGGGAAAATCCTGCAGGGATAAAAAAAAAAGGGGGTGGGGGGGGCCGGAGGCAGAAGATGCCAGCCCCCCCTCCGAGCCCCCCCCCCCCCAGCCTGCGGGGAGGGCCGGC